ATTAACTACTCCGGACCCAAACTTAATTGGGTACCAAAATCTTCCTCCTCCTAATGCAGGAAGCCACTAAGTACCCAGGTGTCTGGTACTTAGACAGTGGCTGTTCAAGACACATGACGGGTGATGCGAGCCTTTTGAGCAATCTAATTCCCTATGATGGTCCAAGAGTTACTTTTGGAGGAAGCAATGATTTCGGCCTTACTAAAGGGCTAGGAAATCTGGTGTACAAGGGACTAACCATCCAAGCTGTATCTTATGTTGAAGGACTCAATTATAACCTTCTTAGCATAAGTCAGTTTTGTGATAAAGGTTACTCCTTGGAATTCTGCAAGGACATGGCATCTCTCAAGAACATCTCCACAAATGAAGTCATTCTCACTGGGAAGAGAATCAGAAACATCTATGAAGTATTATGGAGCGATGTCAAGGAAGCATGTCTAATCAGAAAAGGTGACACTAACCTTCTATGGCTTTGGCATAAGAGGTTGAGTCATCTCAACTTCAAAACCCTCAACAAGCTGTCCAAAGAAGAGTTAGTAAAAGGTCTTCCCAAAGCTGCATTCAGAAAGGAAAGTATTTGTGATGCTTGCCAAAAAGGAAAGCAAGTCAAGTCCACCTTCAAGGCAAAATCGGCAACCTCAACTACAAGGATATTAAGTCTTATTCACATGGACTTATTTGGCCCTGTTACACCAATAAGTCTAAGTGGAAAGAAATATGTCCTGGTGGTAGTTGATGATTACTCAAGATACACGTGGACAATCTACCTCAACAGCAAGAAGGAGACTCAAGGGAAACTCACCAACTGCATGAAACTGATTCAAAACCAAGCAAGTCAGACCATTCAGAAGATCAGATCTGACAAAGGCACAGAATTCCTAAATGAAATCATCATTCACTACTGTGAAGAAAACGGAATTCTTCATCAGACATCCGCAGCAAGGACACCTCAACAGAATGGTGTAGCTGAAAGAAGGAACAGAACCCTGAATGAAGCAGTGAGAACCATGCTAGCAGAAGCTTCCTTACCAAAGAGGTTCTGGGCTGAAGATGTTAACACAGCCTGCTATACTCAAAATAGGAGTATGATTTATAAAAGGCACAACAAAACTCCCTATGAACTGTGGAACGGGAGAAAGCCTAATATATCATATTTCCATATTTTTGGGAGCAAGTGTTTTGTGTTAAACAACGGGAAAAAAATCATCTGAACACTTTTGATGAAAAATCAGATGAAGCCATCTTCCTTGGATACTCTATGATGAGCAAGGCATTCAGAGTCTTCAACAAAAGAACCATGATCACGGAAGAGTCAATACATGTTATTTTTGATGAAAAACATGTGGTTGACAAGCCGTCAAAGCATGACCATGAGGTTCTGGATCTATCAGACAAGGATGAAGAAGTCAATAAAGGAGATAGAATGAAGCCCACGGAGTTCATTCCATTCAGAAGTCTGCCTCTGAAGACTTCACAGAGAAATCCGGACTCAGACAGTGCTGAGCCCTCCGGAAATTTTGGCCAGCCTTCCAATATTCCGGATCTCTCAAACGGCGATAATTCCGGAAATGGCAACCCAGTGCCAATCCATCCGGAAACACCAACAACTTCTGTTCTTCAACCAGAAGCTGAACTAAATCAACCAGTCAATCCCAATCAACACAATCTTCGTTGGTTAAGGAATCATCCTCCTCAATAGATCATCGGAGATATTCAATCTGGTGTTCGCACAAGGAGTGCCCAACAGAATCTAGAAGCTATGCTTGCTTGCTTCATCTCACAAGTAGAACCAAAGAATATTGAAGAAGCTCTAGCTGATTCTGATTGGATCAATGCAATGCAAGAAGAACTCAACCAGTTTTCCAGAAATGATGTCTGGAAACTTGTTCCCAGACCTACTCATCAACATGTCATTGGGACAAAGTGGGTCTTCCGGAACTAGATGGATGAAAACGGCGTTGTTGTCAGAAACAAGGCCCGGTTAGTTGCAAAAGGATATTGTGAAGAAGAAGGTATAGATTTTGATGAAACCTTCGCTCCAGTTGCTAGACTTGAAGCTATTAGGCTGTTTCTAGCCTTTGCTGCTCATAAGGAATTCAAAGTCTATCAAATGGACGTCAAAAGCGCATTTCTCAACGGAAACCTAGAGGAAGAAGTGTATGTAGAACAACCTCCAGGATTTGAGTTACACACTAAGGGAGATCAAGTGTATAGACTCAAAAAGGCGCTGTATGGACTCAAACAAGCACCAAGAGCTTGGTATGATACATTGTCTCAATTTCTTATAGACAATGGATTTACCAAAGGAGTAATTGACAAGACATTGTTCATACTACGAGATGGAGAAGATCTCCTATTAGTTCAGATCTATGTGGACAACATCATATTTGGCTCAACTAAGGAAGATCTATGCACCAAGTTCTCAACCCTCATGCAAGGAAAATTTGAGATGAGCATGATGGGGGAACTCAACTACTTCCTTGGTCTTCAAATCAAACAGAGAAGTGAAGGCACTCTCATCAATCAAGCCAAGTATACAAGGGATCTTATCAAGAAGTTTAAAGTTGATCAGAAATCATCCGTTTATGTCCCCATGAATACATCCACCAAGCTTGATATGGATGTAGATGGAAAGGATGTAGATCAAACTCTCTACAGAGGGATTGTCGGATCTCTACTTTACCTTACTGCAAGCCGTCCGGATATCTCATATGCAGTAGGTGTTTGTGCCAGATTCCAGTCAAAGCCAAAGGAAAGTCATCTGATAGCAGCTAAAAGGATTCTTAGATACCTCAAAGGAACTCAGAACATGGGTTTGTGGTATGCTAAGAGCAATTCATTTGAGTTAGTGGGATACTCAGATTCTGACTTTGCCGGATGCAAAGT